ATTTTAGAATTTTTGGTTTTGTTTGGGAAAGAACAGGCGATAGCGAAGTAGATGATTAGCAGGGGAAATGGATTTTTGAGTTGGGGAGATATAAAACAGATGTCCATCTCCTCAATTGTGGAATAAGATTGGGGAAGAAGATTTGGTGGTCGAGGGTTGTGGATTTGGAAGGGCAGGCAGATTGGAGAAGAAGATTTGGTTTGGGGAAGAAGAGTTCGCTTGCAGGTGAAGAGAAATTGGGAGATGCAGAGAGCTCGACAAGAAGGGAAAGGGAAAATTCCGGTATACGGTATTACCGATTTGCCGTCGGTTATTTACCGGATTGGATTCCGTATGCCGAGGACTGAATTATTGCCACCGTATACCGGTACCATCGGTTAACGGTACAACCGGTTACCACCGGTTATCGGTTCGGTAACCGGTTATACCGCTAACCGGCAAACCGAATACCACCCCTAATTATTGATGATTATTCGAGATTGACTTGGATTTTCATGATGAAGCAGAAAAGTGAGGCTTTCACGAAGTTCAAGCAGTGGAAGACATTGGTGGAGAATCAGACCGAGAAGAAGATCAAGAAGCTACGAACGGACAATGGTCTGGAGTTCTGTAATTCTGAGTTCAACGAATTCTGCAAGGATGAAGGGATTGCCCGTCATCGGACCGTGAGAGATACACCCCAGCAGAATGGCGTTGCAGAAAGGATGAACCAGACATTGTTGGAGAGAGCACGGTGCATGCTCTCTAATGCTGGACTAGAGAGAAGATTCTAGGCAGAACCAATGAACATGGCGTGCTTCCTGATCAACCGTGGACCTCACACAGGTATCGAGTTGAAGACTCCTTATGAGGTGTGGTATGGTAAGCCTGTTGATTACTCTTCACTGAAAGTTTTTGGGTGTCCTGTTTATTATCATGTGGATGAGGGTAAATTGAACCCAAGGGCAAAGAAGGGTGTATTTGTGGGTTACGGAGATGGAGTTAAGGGATTTCGAGTTTGGTCACCTTCTGAGCATCGAGTTATACTCAGTAGAAATGTGATATTTGATGAGAAGTCTATGTTTAACCCCATGTTGAAGGTTACTGTTGTTGAAGGTAGCAGGAATGTTGATAAATAGGTGGAGCTGCAAACTCTCAAAGAGAGTGAGTTTGAGCACCAAGGTGGAGAAGATCAACATGATGAGGATGTCTCTGCAAAGCCAGAAACTTCAGAGTCCAGTGCACGAGCTCAACAGTCTATTGTTTCCGGTAGACCGAAGAGAGCGATTGCAGGAGTACCTCCGCATAGGTATGGTTTCGAGGACATGGTGGCGTATTCATTTCAAGTTGCTGAAGAAGTGGATGCAGGAGAGCCACAGTCCTATAGAGAAGCAATTTCGGGTGGTGAAGCTGATCAGTGGTGAAGCTGATCAGTGGCTTGCCGCAATGGGAGATGAGATGGAATCCCATGACAGGAATCAGACTTGGGAGCTAGTCAAACGACCACAGGGAAGGAAGATTGTTACAAACAAGTGGATCTACAAGAAGAAGGAAGGAATCACTTCTAAAGAGGGCATGAAATTTAAAGCTCGGGTGATTGCACGAGGCTTCTCGCAGAGGGAAGAAGTTGACTACAATGAGATTTTCTCACCAGTGGTCAGACATACTTCGATCAGAGTGCTACTAGCAATAGTGACGCATTATGACTTGGAGCTCGAGCAGCTAGACGTGAAGACAGCTTTCCTGCATGGAGAGTTGGAAGAAGAAATTTACATGACTCAGTCAGAAGGATTCGAGGTTCCGGGAAAAGAAGACTATATTTGTAAGCTGAAGAAGTCCTTGTATGGACTTAAGCAATCTCCGAGGTAGTGGTACAAGAGATTTGACAGTTACATGCTTGAGCTGGGCTACAACAGAAGTCCATATGATTGTTGTGTATATCACAGCAAGGCAGAGGATGGTTCGATGATATATCTAGTTCTGTATGTGGATGATATGCTCATAGCTGCGAGGTCAAAGTCTGATATCCAGGAGTTAAAGGGGCTTCTCAGTGCTGAGTTTGAGATGAAGGATTTGGGAGCTGCTCAGAAGATCTTGGGTATGAAGATTTACAGGGACAGGTCAAAGAAGAAGCTTTTCTTGTCACGGAAGAGCTACATCCAGAAGATACTGTCGAGGTTTGGCATGTCTTCAGCAAAGCCCTTAAATACTCCGAGTGCTTCAAATGTTCATATATCCTCAGCTTATGCACCGCAGTCAGAGGCTGAGAAGGAGTACATGTCGAGAGTCCCATATGCTAGTGTAGTAGGTAGCTTGATGTACGCTATGGTATGCACTAGACCTGATCTTGCACATGCTGTTAGTGTTGTCAGCAGGTTCATGATACAACCTGGGAAGGAGCATTGGCAGGCTGTGAAGAGGATCTTCCGGTACCTTAAGGGTACACCTGATGTGGGGATTAGCTTCGGAAGTGATGCAGAGTGCTTGGTGTCTGGGTATTCTGACTCAGACTATGCTGGAGATGTTGACACGAGGAGATCGATGACCGGTTATGTATTCACTCTTGGGAGTTCTGTAGTGACCTGGAAGGCAACTCTGCAGTCGACGGTGACATTGTCTACTACTGAGGCAGAGTATATGGCGTTGACAGAAGCTGCTAAAGAGGGAATATGGTTGAAGGGACTGGTTGGTGATCTTGGTCTACATCATGATCAGGCAGTGGTGTATTGCTACAGTTTGAGTGCAATATGCTTGGTCAAGGATCAAGTCCACCATGAGAGGACTAAGCACATCGACGTGAGGTATCATTTCTTGAGGACAGAGAAGAGGATTAAGGTGAAGAAGGTTGGCACCACGGATAATCCTGCTGATATGTTCACGAAGCCGGTTCCACATGGCAAGTTACAACACTGCTTGGACTTGCTGAATGTCTTGAGTGGGTGACTCCACCCTATGGGGCATTGATGACGGGAGAAAGAGAAGGAGCAGAGTACACCAGAGATTTCATATGAAGAGGATTCAAGTCAAGGTGGAGATTTGTTGATGTGACTTGAATCGGACTATCACCCACCCGTGGACGTAGCTAACACACATCGTGTTAGTGAACCACGTAAATCATGTGTCTTGTTTTCGATTCTCGCTTTCGTATTCTTGCTTTGTTGATTCCGGCGATTTCCCGATCCGTAGCAACGCGTTTATAACAACTAGTTGCCCTAACTTGGTCATGTCTCCTACATTCATGTTACTCTTAGACAAAATCCCTTGACAAATAACTAAATTAGTCACAGAAAATTCATGTAACTATTTCATATCTTAGTCATGATATATGTCTCGTGTTTAATACTTAGTCACGAGAATTACCATGACAAAATAGATTATTTGTCACTGGAATTTTTTCGTTATTGTATCTTTCTAGTCACAAAATTTCCCATGATAATTGATCTTCAATCGCAGACATATGCTTGTTACGACAAAATACACGTAACTAATATCTTCGGTCACGAAATAAATTATTACTCATAAAAAATCTTGTTGTCGAAGGTGAATTTCCCTTAGAGAAAACATAATCATATTCTTTTTTGTCGATTGAACTAAGTCAAATATTTTAAGTATTAAGTTGACATTCATCCATTCAACTTTCACACCACACCCTCCTTACATGTCCCATGTGCCACTCTATCCAACAACCAAAAAAAAAAAAAGAGAAGAAAAGAGGAAAATTCAACAAAAAAGGAAAATCAGGCAAACATACATATAAAACTAATTAATTACTAATAATAAGCGAGAAATGGTACTACTCGCCAGTTTTATGCGTTCCCTTCCCACCTCGACCTTACGATGTTGGTTGGTTTGCCTTCCCCTCACTTGGATTCGGCCTTCCCCTTCCTCTTCTCGTTATAGAAGAAGCCAAAGAGCGACACAACTGAGAAGACGCTGAAACATATGGAGACGATGTCGAGGGTGGCGTGGCGGCCGCTGATTGCTTCCACCTGAAACAAGTTAGTGGTCTTCTTCGCATCCGTGGTCTCCCCGTACCCGAGTTCTCCGTCCATGGCGTCAAAAGCGTAGACGCGCACGAAGTACGTGCCGGTCGGTGCGTCCTTCTCCACCGTCCACTCGACGCTGTCGTTTCCGGCGTAAGGTCTGGCCACGATTTTGAACTGGCAGGTCTTGTCCTTGTTGAGATGGTCCACGGTCTTCCTCCAGGGCCGGTCCTTCTGGCTCACCGGCGCGTAGCACAGCTTCACCTTGATGGTCTTGTACTTGTCGTCGGTGCCAGCTGGCAGGCTCTTGTTCAATCCCCACGTGACCTTGATTTTGTCCTCTCCTCCCTTCACAACTGCACACACACACAGACCACAAAGCTTAATTGAAGCTCTTTGCAAGGCTGAATTAAGCTCTGCCCAAGATATATAATCATTGGGATAAATTGATTCTGGACATAGTTTTGGTAATCTTCCATGAAAGCCTCGATCTTGATCATCAATTCATCACCAGATGGAATAGGAAAGGGCTTATTACCTTGACCTGGGGTTGGGGAAGCAGTGACGACGAGGGTTTTGGGGAGGGTGGAGAAGAGACCGGAGGCGTGAGCGGCGGTGGCCAGGAAAGAGGCGAGAACAACGGCGGAAGCCAGGAGGAGAAGTGGACGCGCCGCCGTGGATGCCATCGGATTCAAGTTCTCAGGCTAGGTAGGTGGGTTCCTTTTCCTTTCTTCTTTTGCTTGAAAGAAGGATTTGATGGGAAGGATCTGTTTTGCCCAGAAGACTTATATACCCTGCTGCAGCTCCAAGTGGGGGAGAGTTGAGAAAATGTGGAAGCCGATTAGTATATGGCAAATTGGATATTTTCAATTGTCCCTAAAGAATGATGGAAGGGTTTTCTCCGGAAAAAAAAAAATGATGAAAGGGTGGGGCAGTGTATGTGCTTCTTCTTAATCTTCAACGCCTCAAAAATATCAGGCCAAGTCAACGATCTCCAGCTCTTAACTTGTGTTTGCTTGCTCTGTCCCCTGACATAACCGGAAAACGACTGGGAAGCGGCAGCCGGTGAATTTAAGGCGTCCGAGAAGACGCCAGATACCTCCTAAACCTCGCAATTTGTGCAGTCAACTGCCGGGAACCGCCGGAGAGCTTGGACTTGGGAAGGGCCACCGCTTCAAGCCTATCAGCTTCAGGGGTAATTTGACTAATTTCTGCCCTTCTTTATGGCAGGGACGGAGCCATGATTTTTGAGTAGGGGGCCAAAAAAATTTCTTTTCAAAACACAATATTTGTATAAAAGATACCTAAAATTAAAACACAACTCATTCGATTAAAATAATTTGATTTGATTATAAACGTGAACCATACATGTGATTTATCTCTTATAATATAATCACACTATACTTCACAGTGGAAACATGAGGCCGATTTTTTTTTTCTTTTCCCAACATAATATTTGTACAAAATATACCCAAAATTACAACACAACTCATTCGATGCAAATAATTTGACTTGATTATACACGTGAACCTCAACATACTGTTTATCTTGTATCATGTAACCACACTATATGTCACAATAAAAACTACATATCCAAATTACCGAAAAACATAAACAAGTTAGAATTTACCTAAAAAAATATTGAAAATATGCATTTACCTAAAAAAGACGTTAAAAAGTGACATAAAAAGAAATAAATTACATGAAAAAGAGTTAAAAATGAAGAATACGTATTTACCTAAGAAAGAGGTTAAAAAGGGAGAATCTTGTAAAAAAAAAAAAGAGGTTAAAAAGGAAATTACATGAAAAAGAGTGGAAAATGTAAAAGGGGACATAGAAACTAAACAGAGTAAGAGAGGGAGTATCGAACCTAGCTTCTTTCATTAGTTATAATAAAAACAACAATCTCAAACCATTTATCCACAAGCTAACTTGTGATCCAAATTACAAACACATTATAGTTATATTCTGATTCTGAAAATTCTATGGCCCCCCTCCTCCTAAGCTGGCTCCGTCCCTGCTTTCTGGAGTCGTCGATCTCTTCCTGTGATGATGGTACAAGTGTTTCGTTGGCTGGCTCCTAATGGTTGCAGAAAACTTTCATATGTAACATTTGAGGGGTTTCATTATTAACTCTTCTTTCTTTTATTGATCATACAACAAAACACATTGGCATCACGGATAACTTATTGATAAGAATCATGAAGACTGACGACTGCGGAAGCCGGAATGTGATATAAGATCAGCAGATTAATTGATCAGGTTAGACTCTATCTTCTGAGAGTCAAAGATAAGTTTGAAAGAGAAGTATGAGTTATCCAGTGGCGAAGCCAGAAAATTGACCAAGGGGGTGCTTCTTCATATCATGAAAAAGTCAACTATGTAATAGAAAAGTCAACTCTAAACGAAAATATGAAAACTTCATTATATGACTAATTCAGTCCATGTACTTAATTTGGAGATGAAATTGAGTATAACAAACACACAAACCTAACCCTAAATTAACACAAATAACAAAACTTTCAAGTAATTGAAATTAAAACCTGGATTTTACCTTGTTGTTAAATATTGATGATTTCAAACAAAGTAATTTTTGTGTTGCTGGCTTGTTGTTCCCAGCCCTGCTCACGATTGAAAAGAGAAGGGTTTTTGAAGGTGAAGGACGGAGAACGAAAGTCTGGAGCCTGGAGATAGTTTGGATTTGTTGGGTAGGAGCCGGAAATATGGGTGGTGGGTACTGGGTAGAGGTTCGGCGAGCTTGGAGCCGGAGATTGAGAGCTTGGAGGGTGGAGGATGGAAAGCTTGGAGGTTTGGCGAGCTCAGCGTGCAACTCGCAGTGCCTCTGCTACTGTTAGGTGGAGGAAGAACAAAATTGTAAAGGGGGATTGTTGGGATCGACGATTAGAGTTTTGTGTTTTGATATTAGGACAGATAATTAACATTGATATAATTAAATATGTATGTATTATAAATGAAAAATTCCTAGTTGAGATGGTAAGATTTCTCATTATCAACCACTGGATCATTGGTTCGATCTTTGCTTCCCACTACATATATTTGATTTTTTTGTGTTTAAAAGCAAATTTGAATAATCGCCCTCTTTAGAGGTTTAAATATTTTTTTTTTTTTTTTGTGTTTAAAACTTGAGCTTGTAGGTTTACCGTAAATGTGCAGAGTAAAGAGAATAGAATACATAAAGAACATGTTGAATAGATTGTGGATTTGTGGTAACATAAAATTTAGAATTTGCACCTTCACCTATCATCAAGATATCCGAATTGAAATTTTGCTTTCATTGTTAGGAACCATCTTTCTTGAGGGGTAATTTCTGCTCCCCTTTCTGGAGCCGCGGATCTCTTCTTGTGATGATGGTACAAGTGTTTAGTTGGCTGGCTCCTACCCATTGCAGAAAACTTTCATATGTCAAAATTGAGGAGTTTCATTATTAAATCATCTTTCTTTTATTGATTATACGACAAAAGACATTTACATCACGGTTAATTTGTTGATAAGAACTATGGCGACTGCAGAATGTGACATACATCGGCAGACAAATTGGATTTGTTGGACTTTTATCCCCTGAGTCTCGAGATAAGTTTGAGAGAGATGTATGAATTATCCAAAAAAGTGAATGGATATATATAAACGAGTGAGATCAGATATATTGGGAATGAAGATATACGAAAGCAAATTTGAGTCATCACCTATTTAGAGATTTAATTATTTTTCTTTTCGTGTTTAAACCTTGAGCTTGTGGGTTTGCTTGTAAATGTGCAGAGTAAAGAGAATATGATACATAAAGAACATGTTGAGTAGATTGTGGTAAGATAGAATTTACAATTTGCCCCTTTACCTATGATCAAGAGATCCGAATCGAAATTTTGCTTTCATTGTTTTCGTTGTTAAGAACCATCTTTCTTGAGGGGTAATTTATGCCCTCCTTTCTGGAGTCGTGGATCTCTTCTTGTGATGATGGTACAAGTGTTCTGTTGATGTGACTTGAATCGGACTATCAGCCGCTACGAGTGGAATAGTCGGGGGTCTCGCTACGATTGGAATAGTTCCTTTACCAGATTGGATTAGGGTTAGATCTAGGAGAAGTACTATAAATACTTCTCATACTCCTCTGTAATCTGTAATCTCCTCGATATAGTGAAACTTAACTGGCTCTCTCTCGCCCGTGGACTAGCTAACACACATCGTGTTAGTGAACCACGTAAATCGTGTGTCGTATTTTTCGATTCTCGCTTTCATATTCTTGCTTTGTCGATTTCAGCGATTTCCCGATCCGTAGCAGCGCGTTTATAACAAGAGTTGGCTGGCTCCTACCCTTTGCATAAAACTTTCATATGTCACATCACATTGAGGGTTTTATTATTAACTCATTTTTTTATTGAGTATACAACAAAAGACATTTGCATCACGGGTAATTTATTGATAAGAACCATGGCGACTGCGGAATGTAGCATCAAATCACCTATTTTAGAGATTTAAATAATTTATTTTTGTGTTTAAAATTTGAGCTTGTGGGTTTTGCGTGTAAATGTGCAGAGTAAAGAAAACATGATACAGAAAAAACATATTGAGTAGATTGTGGTAACATAAAATTTAGACTTCGCACCTTTACCTATGATCAAGAGATCCAAATCGAAGTTTTGCTTTCATCATATATATATATTTTTTTGTTAACCATGATTATGTAAACACAATTGTATTACGGTACTATTATTACCAAAGAAACATAGTTAGTGTTGTATTTTTTTTTCCTTTTGAAATATGCATAATCATGGGAGTGTTACTCCTTGATCATGCTACCAAATTTGGCTTCTCAAAATCATTGGGGGAACTCTAATGAATATCAAAATTGACAACTCAAAGCTCTCTTCCTCCACCCTATCATTGTTCTTCAGATTTTCTTTATCAAATTTTAATTAGTTCTAAATCAAGATTATGCTCAGTGAAGGTCTTGTCGAATGATAGGGAGTGCTCCATCGCTATTGTTGTTGGGTTGCCTCTTGAAACTGTAGGTATACTCACATGTTGAGTCATTACCAGAAAAAAATTATTGATCATTAACAAATAACAACTCAAAGGTCATGCCATATTAGTTAAAATTTGGATATTATTTTCTTAAAAATTGAGCCTATTCTAAGCTTCTTCCCCTACTCATGAGCTTTTGGGTCGCCTCTCTACTTGCATCTATCTGATGCCCCTAGTAAACTCTTCTCGGTAGAGGTGGCAATTTCAATCCAATCCACCAATCTAATCCATCAATCCATTAAAAATATCCACCTAATCCAATCCATTTAAATCCAATCCATTTGATCCAAATCCAATTGGATTGGTGGATTCATGGATTGGATCCATGGATCATTGGCAAATTACGGTTTAGTACCTATAATTTTTATTTTTTACATTTTGGTACCTAAAATTTAATTTTTTATACGAAAAATATCATTGGAAAATTACGTTTTGGTACCTAAAATTTTTCATTGTGACATTTTAGTACCTAAACTTTTTACATTTTACATATTGGTCCTTGGTTGAGGATGTCATTTGGATTCATGGATAATCCACCAATCCACTTGATCCAATCCATGAATCCAAATCCATTAGATCCAATCCATTTGATCCATGGATCCACCAATCCAATCCACCAATCCAATCCATTTGCCACCTCTACTTCTCGAAGATCTACTCAGTACTCACGCAATTTGAATTACACTTAATGGTCAGCAGAGACGTCCAATGCCCTAATCCTTAAGAACAAATTTGGTGTTGTTTTTCGGAATCGTTCCTCGATCTGAATTTGGAGAATACTTCATACATGATTGTAGTATTGTTTAACGAATCTAATATTTTAATTTCTCTTTTATAATTCAGAAGTGCAACACAATGAGGGTGGCAAAAAGAAGGGTAAAGGACGAGAAGAGTAGTTTCAACCTTGCACGTTGTTGAGTGTAATGGTAATTTTGTTTTGAAGAAAGATAGAAATTAGTCTAGCTTATTTTGTTGAAGCGTTCATATTTTGTGATATGATTAGTTAGATAGGTTTCATGTGACTAAAATGCTTCAAGAAATAGATTTCTTAATCATATTAACGTTGATGTGTAAATGATATATTGCTCATACTTCTTAATTGTTTCAAGTAAAAATTCATCTCGTACATGTTACAGTTTTTTCGGTTACTTCAGCTTATATCAATCACAGTGTTTCATGTGACTAGTCACAAGACTTGACTTTCCCTTGAGCCGTGACTAAATGTTTAATAACAATCACCAGTAACAATTATCTATCAGGCAATTTTTCTGTGATTAGTAAGAACTAACAATCACGGGTTCCCGTGATCATTGAAACAAAAACCCGTTGCTCTAGCATGGTTATGTCCCCAACATGCATATGACTATTGGACAAAATCCCGTGATAAATAACTGAATTAGTCACGGAAAAATCCTATGCTTATTTTATAGTTCAATCATGATAATTTTCTTGTGTTTAATAAGGGTGACATAATAGATAATTTGACATGAAAATTTTCTCATTGTATCTCTATAATCACGATATTTTTGTGATAATTGACCTTTAATTACTGACATGCTTGTCATGACAAAATACCACTAACTAATATTTTCAGTAAAAATAAGTGTCTGTTTAGTCACGAAAACTCCTATGATCGAAGGTGACTTTTTTCTATAGTGTCACTCAAAAGAGAGAAAATGTATCCAATGAGATCTCTCTTTTTTGTCAACTAAACGAAGTCAAACATTTTAAGTATTAGGTTCTTATTCATCCTTCCGCCTTCCACACCCGACCCGCCTTACATCTCTCATGTCATATGCCACTCTCTCAAGAGTCAAGTCTTAAGCAACCAAAAAGAGAGAAGAAAAAAGGAAAATCAACAAAAAAAAAAAACAGGCAAACATATAAAACTATTTAATAATAAGCGAGAAATGATATTACTAATCGCCAGTTTTATGTGTTCCCTACACACATCAACCGCTGTTTGGTTGATTTGCCTTCCCCTCACTTGGATTCGGCCTTTCCCTTCCTCTTCTCGTTAAAGAAGAAGCCAAAAAGCGAGACAACCGAGAAGACACTGAAACATATGGAGACGATGTCGAGGGTAGCATGACGGCCGCTGATCGCTTCCACCTGGAACAGATTAGTCGTCTTCTTCGCATCCGTGGTCTCCCCGTACCCGACTTCTCCGTCCACGGCGTCGAAAGCGTAGACGCGTACGAAGTACGTGCCGGTCGGGGCGTCCTTCTCCACCGTCCACTCCACGCTGTCGTTCCCCGCGTAAGGCCTGGCCACGATTTTGAACTGGCAGGTCTTGTCCTTGTTGAGATGGTCCACGGTCTTCCTCCAGGGCCGGTCCTTCTGGCTCACCGGCGCGTAGCACAGCTTCACCTTGATGGTCTTGTACTTGTCGTCGGTGCCAGCTGGCAGGCTCTTGTTTAATCCCCACGTGATCTTGATTTTGTCCTCTCCTCCCTTCACAACTGCACAAAGTCCAAAACCGGAATTAAAAAAAAAAAACATAATTGAAGCTGCAAGGTTGAATTAAGCTCTGCCCGATGATATAACTATATGGGTAACTTGATTCTGGACATAGTAATCGTAATCTTCCATGAAAGCTTCGATCTTGATTTACCTTGACCTGGAGTTGGGGAAGCAGTGACGACGAGGG